TTCCTGCAGCGCCCGCACTGCCACCTTTGCTGCGGGTCCTGTCTCTGAGCAGATGAGCTTTGGGGACAGGCCACGAGATGTCTGTACCACACCTAGCCTGGCACAAGAAGGTCTTGGCTTCCAGACTGCTGGTCACTAAGTTGTAAAGTGTGTCTGCTTGCTGCATCCCAGGTGGAGAATCACTGTGGATTTTAATTTTAGCATCACGGAAAATAGGATGAGGGGGATCCCAGGAGGTCACTTCATCTGTCCCAGTGACACCAGGTAGTACCCACTGCCATGGCTAAAGATAACTGGTTTAACTGGTTCAGTTAAACAGTTATCTTTTTAACTGGCTCAGTCCAGGTTTAACTGGTTGTGCTGTTCTGCAGGTGAGGTGACGCAGTGCTGCGCTGTCCCTACCAGCACAAACATTTTCCTAACATCCACGTCTCCCTGCTATTTAAATCCCTCATTCCCTCTTGTATCCACAGGGAAACGATGATTTCCTTTCTCTTGCTTTGTATGCAAAGACTCCTGCTATCTCAGTCTTCCAGAATAACCATCCCCAATTCTTCTTTCCACCTGTAACCTGTGTTTGTGGCAGCATGGATCACTCGGCATCTTCTCTCGAGTCTCTCATCCATCCACCTCTTTCCTGCACTCGCTACTTACAGCCCTMCAAGCCCCCGAAGTTTCCTTTCGGGGTTTCAGTCAGTCGAGGACACAACCCTACACTTCTCTGTTGCCTTCTACAGAAATTCTCACTTCTCGTAGATTTACCCGAATTGCCATGAAAGCCGCAGCGGCCTCCTGGCTTTGGGCGTTGTGGGGTCTGCCGGGCGCCTTCCCGCGAATTCCCCCCCAAGTCGCCGTTCACGCGGCCCGTCCCCGGTCCCCGCAGCTCCTTGGCGCCGTCGCGGGGTGACCTGGAGAGCGGAGAGGTCCCTGTGTCCCCGGCTCCCGGCCGGGCCGCGGGCGCCTGGGCGGGAGGAAGGGCCGGGCCGCGGGCGCGAGGCCGCCAGGGGGCGGCGGGAGCCCAGGAATGGCGGCGGCGGGAGCCCCCCG